AGGTGGGTTGAGCATTGCCTAGTGAGGCCTCTAAGTCTAAGGCTTTCCTAGACAGTGAGTGGTATTCAGTGCGTGCCTCGCTGGCTAGCAAGTTCCTAATGTTCTCTGGGAGACATCTGACAAACGTAGTCAATAGGAGCTGGTCATCGTAGTTAATGCCTGGGACGAGGATCAGGCTCTCAACGGTAGTCGTAAGCTCTCTAACCGACCTGAACTTGCGTTGGTCAAGTTTGCTAATGGCATCAGTGGCCTTTTGAGCCTCCTGTGGGTTATGCCACCGAGCTTCTACCATTTCCATGAACTGGTCTAATGTCAGGGACTTAGCCCAGTCCGCCATGCGTCTCCCATACCCGGCCTTGATAACTACACCATCTAACCATTTGGCTGCCTTACCCTCGAGGTAAGATGCAGCAGTTACCACTTCGTCCTCAGGCAAGGTCCTCTTTGCCTTCACCCAAACCGGGACGGTCCTCAACCATGTGTTGAGTTCCTCGTCCTTCCTCTCGCCTGAGAAGGCAAGAGGCGGTTTCATCGGGTTTTAGGATACCATTGACCTTGCTGCTGTCCCTGTGTAGGAACAGGTTGTTGCGGTGGTGTAGCAACCACCGCTGGACCCGAAGAAGGAGATGCAATAGTCTGTGCGGCTGCTGCAGATGTGCCACTTGGTTGTGTGCCAGCTAGAACCGGAAAGGGGCCTGACATCGCCGATAACGGCAACGGCGATTGTGCTGGTGGCCGGAATCCTGGCCTTGTCAAAGCATCCAGGATCTGGTCTAGAGTGCTCTGCATGAAGTCTAATTTGCTGTCCACGTGTGCGTGTAGTGACAACATATTCTTCTTCAAAACTTTCATGTCGTCAGACATAGCTGACTCATCCAAGCCCTCTAGTTCAACCTTGTCAGCCTCTAAAGTTTCAAGCCTGGCTGCTCTAGTTTTCATCGCATTTTCTCTATCGGTAGCTTCGTTCAGGTCCTGCTCTAACTTACGGCGGAGCATCTCGACCTGCTGGATGTCTCTGAGCTCCCTCTGTCGCGGTGTCCGAACTTGTTTGACTAGAAGACTGTCTAGAACCTGTGGAACCGGAAGTGCCTGAGAAACTTGTGGAACTCGTTGGCATTCCCAATGAGCTCCCATTAGTCCCTGACGAGGACGCAGATGATGACGCAGCAGAGCTTGCGCCGTTAGCCATCGCAGCTGCTCTAGCTGCTGTTGCCTGCTCTCTTGCTGCTCTGTTTGCTTCTGCTATCCCCGCTGCTAACGCACGGGCTCTAAGTATCCGTCTTTCTTCTCCCGGATCCAAGGCCTGGAACACGTGCGGTACCCTTAGTGCCTGTGCACGTGTTAGTCTCCTACCGTCAGCTCTATCATCAACAGGGTCTGACCCACTCATTAGTTAGACAGATAGTATCTGCACTAGAATCCCCTAATGGAATCCTACCGCAGCGTATATCTGACCGGCACGTAGTTTTCTACAAATGGTTGTGTCCGGCGAGTTCCCTACTATACCGAATCAATTGGCATGTCTACAACATTCACACAGATTGTCTACATAGTCTAGATGCACCCTGATTAGTTCACTTACAGCAAGTCTAGATGCACCCTGATTAGTTCACTTACAGCAGCATTAATTAGAACTGGCTATGGCAGCATACAACAGTTCTACACTAATCTGTCTGTGAGGTTAGCAGTCCGTCAACCAACTAATCAAAGGTACAAAAAGACAATGCAGCAGATGTATGATTGATGGGTATAGTTGTGTACACAGTTGACCACCAATTGGAACCTACCGTCCCCTCAATCCAACATACCGAACAGCATCTTGAGCAAAGCAGTGTTTTCATGTGTGTATCGGCCCACCCCTGTGCCCAAGTCAAAGCCAAGTAAGCCAGCCAGCCCACTCTTATTTACCCTCGTACGGAAACGAGCCTTACACCCGGATGATCTGGCTGATCAGGAGGAATTTATAGAGCGCCCCCATCTCTTCAGGAATTCTTTAACGTCGCAGTCAGGACGACGATCACAGCCAGAATCATACCGAGTACCCAACCAGAAATGTTTATAGACGGTCTGGTAAGCGTCTGATACAAGCCTGGCACACTTGAAAAGACTTCTATCTGAGCGCAGCAAGTGCCAAAACAGGACAGCAGCCATCGCATGCGTGCACTACTCCCCATGGGTTGGCATGGTGACTGTGACCCAGTGCTTCGACCAGGGCCCTTCAGAGGCACCGCCCTTTCTCCTTCCAGATGCTTCCGGGAAGATTGTCGTCTCTCAAGGTAGCGCGCTCACGACACCTCACCAAGGAGAGGACTCTCAAGTTGGACTCACTTCCTCACGGTAAGAAGAGATTGAGAAGGTACATAAGGTAAGGGATCAACATACCTGGAGATAGCTGCCCCTAACCACAGATTTCTCACCAATTGAGCTCATGTTGCATTTGATGACCGGTCATGACCTCGGTACCACCCACAACGCAATGCAGTGCCACCTTAGTCCAATGCCACATCAGCATGCTCTCATCACCATTCAAACATTCCGCTGTAGCCCACGGCATACACAGCCGTAATAGCCTTCCGGTGCACCCCTCTCTACCCAGGGCGTGCACCTAACGTGGCCTGACGTCACAAGTACCCACTGCGAAGAAGCATCGTCAACGCGCCAAGTCTGTACAACGCCAGCATGCCGAAGGTAAGTGGCGATCAAACCAGCTTCGATACCAAATTGCAAGGAACATGAGTATGGACGAAGCACAGAAATCCAGAATGCAATATCACACTGAAGTCCAAGTATTCAAAGCCAAAGCAGATAGTACAATGGAACCGAGTGACCATCCGATTGAGAATGATACAGAAGAATCGTGAGTCAATGTCCATGCCCAACAGGGCAACACCAACAGCATAACCCAAATGTAGCTCTCTCTCGTGAATGGCGCCAGGCGCCCTATCTACTCTACAGCCTATCCTACAACTACAGCAATGAAAAGCAACCAGACAACTTGACTACCAGCGAGTGATGACGTCAAAACCAATGTCGATCTCCACCATCATCAGGTACGTGTCCTCTTCACCCACACTCTCCCTTGTACCCACACAGCGCCCTTCACCTCCGAAGAACCACCTTCGCCCTACACCCTCACTGCACCTATGCGGCCCGGCTATGGCCGCCAGTGCCTTGCATGCAGGCAGCGCCCTACCACCTAGCGCTTGCCTGCTTTACCTCAGCGCAGCGCTGCTCATGCATAGCGCAGCACACATGCATCCGCGCAGCGTGCCCGCAATGCCAGCATTGGCCAAGATACCAGCCCACTCGCCCTGCTTGCCTATATGCCAGTGCTGYGTGTGGGCGGCCTCCCTTCAGCCTCCGACAGGGCCCCAGTGGCTGAACCCAGGCCCATTACAGTTGGGGCGCGGGAGATGCAGTTGTGCCTCTCTCGTCAAGGCCTGCGGCCAGATTCAGCGTGCATTGTCGGCCTCACGTTCAGGAGCCCAGGGCCTAACTAACTCAGAGGCCCTGGGCATTTCAGCATTTGCTGAGATGCGAAACTCGGTGCACTCCAACCAACTGGCGTGCTGCAACTGTAAGGACCCCACTTCGTGAAATGTATGCACAGAGGGCTATTGTTGATTACTGGCGTGCTGCAACTGTAAGGACCCCACTTCGTGAAATGTATGCACAGAGGGCTATTGTTGATTTGCTGGCCCGCCTTCACTTAGGGCGGGCACGAGGCTTGCTGGGGCCTTAGCCCAGAACATGTACATCATGGGAAGGCCCCTTCTTGAGGGCTCATTCCTCACAGTTGTACTATTTATTTTTTATTTTTTGGGGAGGAATTTGTACTCTTAGGGCCTGGCTCCACTACTCACGACTTGCAGAAGAGACGAAAAACACATGGGCGTGTATCTGCCTATGTTGTAGCAGAAGATTCATTCTCGTTTTGCACATTTGGTGATGGCCCATTTCTCCAGAAGTGGAGCAAGGCCAGATCTCACAGTTGTACTCTAAGGGCCTCTCTCCACGACTCACAGTTGTGCTCTTGGGGCAAAAATATCGCCGCGTATCTGCACATTTTGTGAGTCGTGGAGCGAGGCCCTTGGTGATCTTTTTTTTTGGGTGTGTGTGTGAGAGAACGATTTCTCCCCTAGAACATGGGCAGATACATGCATGTGGTGAGTAGCGAAACACAGTCCATTGTCAGTTGGTTTTTCTTCTTTTTTTTTTTTTTTTTGCCTTCTGGATGTCTGGGTTATTTACTTGCTGGCATTGTACCTCAACTCTCCCTATCAACGGCTGACGTTTGTGTCATTCAACCCTGTCGGCGTCGGCTTCACAGCTTTTTGTTTTGGTTCCCCAGGTAATGCAGGTCCTATTCCGCCCCCCCCCCCCAACTCGCCTCCCCTGCGTCTGCAGCAGGCATCCTCTTGTTCTTTTTGAATATTAATAATTTTATCTCGTGTTCTCAACTGAAGCAATTTGACTTGCACATCAGTCATCGTTAAAAAAAACTCATTCCGTCATCAAAGACACATTCCATCATCAAAGACCGAATCAAAGCATCACGATGCACTCTGGATTATGTCGTGATGTTACGGGTTGGCTCACCCATGCCATGCCATTGCTTGTTAAAAAACCTATCTCATCTAAAGCCAATGTGTGCAGCAGAGAAGAGAAGAGAACAGGGGCATAGAGAACCAGACAAAGAATGGGATAGAGCAGGCAACGAGAAAAGCTTGAGAGGAGTGTAAGAGAGACACACTGAGACGGCGCATCCACAGACAGAAGGTCCAGGCAGGACAGCAAGACGAAGGGACAGCCTGCAACAGGGCGGACCGGGCTGGGGCACCCACAGATGATGGGAAGTCCAGCAAAACCAGGGGAAAGAAACCTAAAGAAAGCAAGAGAGAGAGAGAGAGAGAGAGAGAGAGAGAGAGAGAGAGAGAGAGAGAGAGAGAGAGAGAGAGAGAGAGAGGAGCATTAAGGCACATGGTTGATGAGAAAATAACCTGTGGTTGATGAAGCGGGAGACATTGCCATATTTTGTTGCATCGATGACAAAAGGCCTTGCACGATTCCGATACGCCGGCGGATCCAGATGGACATCAATGTCATACAAGTAACTGCATCCTACCTGATCATACCTGGACAAAGATATGCCACAGCCCGAAAATTAGTAAATAGATCAAGTGTCCCTGCCCAGTGACCGACTGCCATTAAACAGATCAAGAGATCAAAGCCTACTGGATACACTAAAATTAGGGCCCAACTTTCGATTGAAAAATAGCAAAACAGAAAAAAGAAAAAAGAAAAAGGTACTGACTATAGTGTGAAGTAACGACGGAGCACGAAAAACGTGACATGAACATCTAATCTTTTTTTTTTTTTTTTTTTTTTTCCCAACCTTACAACTGTCTCAAGTAGAAGGATGTTTCAGAAAAATGCTCAAGAATCGATCCAACGGCTCACATCACCGACCAGAGAAAAAAGGCTAAGCAAGACGAGTTGTTAGCATCTCTCTCTCTCTCTCTCTCTCTCTCTCTCTCTCTCTCTCTCTCTCTCTTTAACTTGCACCGTAGACTTTGTCTTCTCTCACCTGTGCTACATAGTGCACTTTCGTTTCCAGCTGCCTGCTGTCCACCATCTTGTCTTCTCTCACCTGTGCTACATAGTGCACTTTCGTTTCCAGCTGCCTGCTGTCCACCATCTTCCTGCTTTCATGTTTGCCGATGTGACTATGCGCTGCCCGCCTACGTTAAAGTGCGATTTTTCCAAACGTGCCAAGAGCTAGGCCCTAGGAAACGCCAAGACCTAACTGTTTGAAAGCGGTGATGCCAAGAAGCAGCAAGGATTGGAATGATTTGTTGTTTTGCAGCAACCACAATCGAAAGGCCACCAGAGAACGTGAGGATTCGCATCAACGATCGGGGAAAAAGAAGGGGCGCAGACCGATGCACGGGCCCAGTTTCACTTTGTAGTTGAGAAACCTTTCAGTCCGGCACATAACTGACCCGTAGGCACACAGCATCCAACGAAAACGGACCCTGCGACCGACGGGCTTTAGAGGGTTGTAGTGGCTGATATCACTATCAATGCATACATGCATGGATGTCAATTCTATCGTTCCGCACTGGCACATGGCAGTGCCCTGACCTACAGGGAGAGGGTGCTTACCAAAGCCTGAGTTGCAGTATAGAGTTCAGTAGAGATATGATACTAATAGGATTGAAGATCCTCATGCACGAGGAAAGGATTGATGCAGACCGCACGGAGAGTTCTGACAAGTTATGAAAGGGGTCTAAAGGGCAAGCAGGAACTGGAATGATGGGAACTCTAAAGGGACCCCAAACCAAGGGGGCGGGATTGTGAAACCGCAAGGGCCGCCCCCGCTTGCAGCAAGGGCTGCTGGTGGGCCCTGAGCTTGAGCCTAGATGGAAACGGCCCAGCCCGTTCAGGAAAAGGCTGGATCGAGACAAAGCAAGGTACCAGCCAAGTAGTTGGCGTCCCCGTTGGCCGTGGCCACATCTCGAAACTGCCTAAAGGCAGGGCCCAGTCTAGATCCCAGCCTACCTGTAGAGGGAGATGTCGGGCCCGCCAGGCACACTATCGATACATAGTGCCCGGTGGCTGCGCGATCGAGTGGAGCCCAGCAGCCACCAGCAGCCGCAGCACCGGCCATCCAGCGTAGCTGCGAGAATGGTCGTTCCAGCTATAGCTGGGCACCTTGAAGTAAGAGAGGTGGTGCAAGGATGGGAGGTCCTTGGGGGAAGCGCCGTGCCGAGAGAGTTGGTGCACGACATACCTGGTGGTCCCCAAGAAGAGCTCCAGCTATGGTACACTCTTCGTTCGGGCATTGGTGACAGCAGCATCATACTCTGCAGCATTATACATTATAGGCTAAAGTTGCTGATAAAGCATTATGTGATCACATAGGCTACAAAAACCATTAGAGACTTATATCATGATTATTATAGTAATCATTCTACTTATCTTCACATAGGCTGGTTGATAGAGCAAATGGAGAAGATAAGTATAATCATACTATAAAAACGATTACAAAGTCTACATTACTCTATAATGGTTTTTGGTATGGACTATTGGGAGGTGAAAGGAGGACTTTTCTTTTTCTTCTTTTTTTTTCCTTTCTTTTTCTAAGGAAAAAAAAAAACAAAAAAACAAACAAAGGCCCCACCTATTCTGCGGGGCGGGAGTCCGGTTGCTTATCACCGGCAAGCATAGACAGATGAGACGGAAAACAGTCAAGGGGCGGAGATGGCTTTTCACCATCAACAGGGTTCAACATTGCCAATTCTACCTTCTTCCCCCGAATACAACGTACGGTCATTATAGCTGTATCTAGACTGAAAGATGCCTCAAATACAACTATAATGACCGTACGTTGTATTCGGGGGAAGAAGGTAGTGCTAATGATATCATTTGCTTCAACATTTCTGCTAATTGCCAGGTTGCGCCATACGCATGCTTCTGGTCTGGTCATGAGACTTCATAGTGCGCATAAATTGAGCTTCTCTATGCGGTTTCCTTGCAGATGGAGTGGGACATGAAAGAGAGAAAAGAAACAAAACCCAGCCCAGATGGCAGAACGGTAGACGCATGTAACTGTTGAGGGACGGGTCATGGGTTCAAATCCCGATGGAAAGTTGTGCCGGTGGAAAGGAACCACACTGACCTGTCCCCAGAATGGATATGGAGCCAGGCCCACAAGGACCTGTTAAAAAAAAAATAAAAAAAATGAATGGAAAAAAAAATAAAATCAACAAATGAAATTTGGGAATCATAGTCCTTCAGGACATCCGTTAAAATTGGAACGATACAGAGAAGATTAGCACGGCCCCTGCGCAAGAAGAAGAGGATTAAAAAAAAAAAATAAAAAAAAATTGGGAATCATACCTCTCTCCTCGTCGATTTGCCTCTCTGTCATTCACCACCTCTCCTATGTATTCACAGACAAATGTTCCCCTGGGGATTGCTTCTGCTGCCCTGACAGCCCAACCCTGCACGGCAGACGAGAATCGACAGCCACGTCGAGAACAGAAAGTACGCAAAAATGAGGGACCATCACGGCACTGCATCAGGCCAATTATGTTCATCCGTACAGGCACGGCTAAGCCTTCGTTCACCCCTGGACCCATACGAGAATGTCGTTCCCTACACGTCTCCGGCTGTGTACCAAAAATCCCCTTTCAGCATTTTGTACTCTTAGTATCCCATATACCCTACCCACCTACCGAAACGCCCCTTCCAACATTTTGTACTAATAGTATCTCATACCCTACCCACCTGGCACTTTCAAAACCCCCCTCCCTTACCCCCTGTTGTCTTTCTTTTCTTTTTTTTCTCTTTCTTTCTTTAAAGTTTAAACCAACAGTACCATTCCGGCTGGGAAGCTAAGTCGTGAATATAACCTATACCACACTCTTCGGGGGGCGGTGGAGGCCGGGTGCTTCCGGACCAAAAAGGCTGGCGGCGTCAGCGAAAAGAGAAATCGAAAAACACCGCGTTGGCGCTTCTGTCCGAGCTAGACGCGCGGTTCTTCTCCACCTCAGAAAAAAGGAGCCCCAGAGGTCGCGGTGGTTCAAGAGAAAAAAAACTTGAAAAAGATGAAAAATGAGGCCTGACGGTCACGACTCCATATCCATTGTGCACTGAATCTGCAGAGAATCCGTCCGGTCCGTATTCCACCAGCCAGTCAGAACAGATGCATCATCTGCTCACTCTCATCGAGAGTCTAAGGGCTCGAAACGCTTCGCCGCACTACAGCCCGGGGATCCCTGACAGCATTGATTACTTCCATTGGAACTGAATGGGTTTCACCATAGTTGCGGCGCACGACGGTGCGCCGGTTTGCGCACGAGCAGCGCACGTAGCGCCGCGCACCGCACGGCGCACCGCGGCGCCCCGAACCGTGAAAAATAGGGGTCTGCCAAAAAAAAAAAAAAAATCGGTTTTCATTACCAAGGCGGGCCCCCACCCCGGCAAAAATGACGGCCGGACCGCGCGAGTCCAGAAACCGGTCACGCCCCGCCTCCAAAAAAAATTTTGGGGGAAGGGCCTGCCGATTTCGAATTTTCGAAATCGGCAGACCCTTCCCCCAAAAAACATTTCGGGCAAGGGGGACAACATTCCGATCTTGGAAGCGGCGGGAAGCAGCGGGAAACGGCGGGAAGCGGCGGGAAACGGCGGGAAACGGGCGAGCGCCGAGCAGCCATGAAGGTGGGCGCCCACCGGCCATCTCTCTCTCTCTCTCTCTCTCTCTCTCTCTCTCTCTCTCTCTCTCTCTCTCTCTCTCTC